AAATGCATGGTTTGTTATTTCGACTTTTAGGGTAGAATTTTTGGTTTTTTGAGTTTTGTTAAAATTTGGGAAAATTGGCCTCTGCTTTGAGTTTATGGCTTTTATTTTTGTTTAGATTTTGAGTTTTGTTACAGTTTTAGTTTGTTTTCCTTCAGTTGTCTTCACTTTTGTTAAAGCTTTATTTTGGCCTCTGCTTTGTGTTTATGGCATTTTGGGTTAACTTTTGAGTTTTGTTACAGTGTGAGTTTTGTGTTTGCTTTAACTTTTGTGTTTGTTTTGTTAAAGCTTTGTTTGTTTGGTTTATTGTAGAAAATGCGTTCAAAAATATCTGCTTCTAAAAGCAAACTAAAGATTGACGGAAAAGGCGTTAGGTTAGATTATGCGAAACGATTGAGGGAGTTGCCCTCAAGCCCTGATTCAGAATCTAATGTAAATGCCCCGGTGCCAGAAGTTGATGATTTTGATTCTGCTGCTCCTCCTAAAAACTTGCAACCAGAGAGCAGTCGGATGACTCGTTCTCAAATGAGAAATACTCCCACTCCAGTTAAATCTTCGAGTGACTTGCCCTCACCCTCTTCTTCTGAAGCGAATAAGCATGTGCAGGCTCCCGATGATGATGATTTTGAGTCTCCTCCTCCTCCAAAAATGTTGCAACAAGGGAGCAGTCGAATGACTCGTTCCCAAACAAGTAATAGTCCTACTCCGGTTAACATCGTTAGACTAGGGAGTAAGAAATGCGACAGACCTGCAAAATCAACAGATAAGCTGAAAGATGATTTGTTTAATGAAGATGATGTAGTCCGCAATATTAAACGGAAAAGGAGAAAGATGAAGGATGATGGTGAGAGTTGCCTTGATTTACAATCGAGAGAACAAAGGGTCGTTATTCGCTTGAAATTGAATAAGAGAAAAGCTAAGTTGAAGGTATTCCCTGTTTTGCTATTTATTTATACATGCTTATACAGTTTATACAAAGTTATACATATGTTTATACATCTTTATACAAGCACTGCTATACTTGTATATACAGTCTCTTATTAAATTTTTAGTATATTTTTTTGTTCTTTGATCTATTTCTTGTTATTTTCCTATATCCAAGGTTGGGGACTCCTATATACAACCAGTTGATTATTTCCACAACAGGATTAGTTCCCATACCGAGCCTGATATTGTGAACATTTTGAAGCAATGTTTGACTGACACGCAGCTTCAAATGTTCCGTGCTAGTTGTTTTAGGTACTTCCTGGACCTCCCTCAATTTAAAATTCAAAATCAACTTATTCATTGTATATTATTGAGGGAAGTCGTCCCAGGACGTGAAAGGGAGTTGTGGGTGAAGATTAATGGTTGTTTGCTGCGTTTTGGCATTGGAGAGTTTGCTCTTATCACTGGTTTGAAGTGCGTAGACGACGACGCCACTTTCTATGACAAACCAGATGTTAATAGGTTGCTGAAAGAGTATTTTCCAGGAGATGGAAAAAAGGCCATAACAAGGGGGGAGCTTCTTGATCGCTTCAAGCAAAAGGAGTGGAAGTCGGATGAAGATGCATTCAAGATGGCCTTGATGGTGTTTGTCCATCATTTCATCTTCTCTGATGCCAATAATCATGGTATCACCAAAGATGATTCTGATATCATTGAAAGTGGCCAATATAAGATGTTTCCTTGGGGAAAAAAGTCATTTGAAGATGTTTTAAGGACAATGAGGGACAGGCAATGCGATTATTTGACAATGTATAGGCTTGGAGGTTTGCCGCTTGCTTTACAGGTTTGGTTTTTTGAGTGTTGCTCAATGGTTGATAAGAATCTAGCTGTTCGCGTTGGCACAAATGTGCCACGCATTCTTAATTGGAAAGTGACTAACACTCCATCATATGCGGATTTGACTGGCGGCGTGATCATGTGTAGTGTCGACAAGGTAAACATTTTGTACCATAATACTTCTTCATATATGATTTCAGTTTTTCTGTATTTTTCTACTATTGTAATCCTGTTTTTTTCTTCTTGTAGTTGAACTATAGTAACATTTCCCCTACTTCTGAAGAGATGTCAAGTCTGAACATCGACACACTTTTTGAAGTCAATGCCGATGATGTTGCATCAGGGGAGGTGCCTGTTGTTCCTGCCTCTCACACTGATGATTTTGTTGCTGCACCTTCACCTTGTCCTCAGCATATGGAGCAACAGTCTACACGACCTTATCCTCAAAATGCAGAGCAACAGTCTAAACGACCTTGTCCTCAGACTATGAATCCACAGCCTAATCCAAGTTATGATCTTTTTGTGCGTCTTGATCTTTTGAATGATGAAGTTCAAAAGCTGAGGAGTGATGTTGGAAAGGTACTGGACCTTTAGCTTTTCTGTAGTTTATAATTACTTTTTGGTAATAAACATGGTTGTTTATTTGCTTTTGTTGTAGTTGACTGATACAGTGACGACACTCAACAACTATGTCGTTTCCTCCTTTGAAAAAGTGTTCAGTTTTCTGAATATGAAGGAACCCAAGCAAACGAGGGAGGATTTTACTGATTCTAAGGTAATTGTTTACTGATAAAACCAAATCACTCAACAGTTATGCCTTCTCTGAACTCAACATGCCTTCTCTTTCTATTGTTTTTTATTAGATTCGTCAGCCCGTGTTTGATGACAATACATCTGGTCTTGGCGAATTTGATGGCTATCAATATGATGTTGTTCCTAACTTTGTCAATCAAATGAATCAAGATAATGTGGTAGCTGACGAGGGAGTTACTGATGGTGTTGATAATGGTATTTGTTCTGCTTTCTTTTTTTTTTTGGTCTGATTTTTCTTTTCTTCTTTTTGAAGTTTTGTATTATTTGTGTTTCTATGTCTAAGGGGCAGCAGGTGATGTCAAGGGTGACACATTTTGGGATGACATTGGTGATGAAGATTTAGCTCATATGTCCCAACTTGTGGTTCACAAACAATCCATCATAGAAGTAGAAGATGATTACATTTCTCCTGACCATTCAGTTCGACAGAAAATACCAGGAAAATATGCCAAATCTCCATATTTGCCAGTTTTTGATTCTGGAGCATCAAAATCGGCGCCCAAGCTCATTTTTGATATCAAGCATCCTTTCACAATCGAAATTGATGATTTTGATACATTGTCGCCATTGGCTAAAGAGTTTTGCGCGTTTGTTGATAATGGGATGGATACGAGGTGAAGGTATCTTCACTTTCTTCAATCATTCATGTTCTGATTTTATACTTGTCAATGAATGTAGTTCTGATTACTTTTTATTTTTTGTGATTTGAAGTGCCAAACATATATATCCCGATGAAGTAAATAATCTTGCAGAAGGTTTTACTTTTGGCTCGTGTTATGTGACCAAGAAGGATTGGTTCCACTCACTTGCATATTGTGGTCGACCTTAGATTGACACGGTATTTTAATAAATTTCTGTTCTAATTCCCTTTTTATTTTTGTTGCATATCTTTGTTGTTTTGAGACCCCCATAGTGTATACATAGCTTTGTATAATCACAGTATAAGATTGTATAACCTTGTATAAATATGTATACCTATGTATAATAGTGTATAAACTTCTATATTTAAATAATCTGGTAGTGATGGTTGTTCTGTTTTATTTCTTGTCTCAGCACCTGGATGTCCTCTTTTATTATTTGAGGAAGAGGGGAAAATATGGACCGAGTGTTGCCATGCGGTTTACTACAACCAACTTTGCCTTTGGTAACAAAATCAACTCCCTATACAAAGATTTCAAAGTGAATCAAGATCCTTCAGTGATTCCTGACGGGCATGAGATAGAAGAGTACATCAGAGGTTATTATTGTGATGCAAATGTCCCGTGGCACACTGTTGACCACGTCTTATTCCCTATCTTTGTGAAGCGCGGAAGAGCAAAATTGGGACATTGGGTTTTGGGGGTGTTTACGTTCGTAGATAGATGCATCCACATCTATGACTCTAACCGTGGGGCTCTTAATGATAGACTTGTTTTGGATGCTGCATTACCTTATGCAATTCTGATACCTTACTTCTTGAAGAGTTCTGATTTTTATGTCAAGAAGAAGGGCATTGATCGGAACAATGGTGCATATACCGATAAATCCCATTCTGATGCTTTGCAGATTAATCTGGTTAATAATGTTCCCCAACAGATCAAATGGTAGGTTAATCTCAATTGTTTTACTATTTTACTATTAGTGTACCTATTTGAATCTGATTCGTTTCTTTTTAATTACAGTGATTGTGGTGCTTTTGTTGCTGGCTTTGCTGAGTATTTCATCCTTGGTAAAGAAATTCGAAAGGATAATTTTGACATTGAGACACTTCGCACCAGGTGGGGATCTCTGTTATGGGATTATGGAAGGAAAAAACAACAGTCTGGTGCAATTAGTGATGATGAAGTCACAGGGAGACTTTTGAAGAAGAGGAAGATGGGGCGACCAAGAAAGTAGTTCTGTTATTTTCATTTTACTGTAGTTTTTCTATGTATAAGGAGTTGTTGCCTAGTGCTACTTGTGAGATAACCTTAAAGGATATTATAGATGTTTTTATTATTTTTGTGTAATTTGAGGCAGTCATTACACATTGTTGCTGTGAATGAATTACATTTTAATGAATATTTTCAGTTGCTTTTGTCCTTTAACAAAGTATGTATTTTCATTATGGTTGCAGTTTTGTTAATGTAGCAGGTTTTATACATATGTATACAATAATATACATAGTTATACAAATTTATACAAACTTATACTCTCATTTATACATCTGTACACATGTAATACCAGTGATTGTTTGCAGTCCTGTTTTGTATTTCTACAATCTATCAATATATTTAGTACCATTAAAAATAGGAAGACACTATTATTGGATAAGCAAAACACGTATAATGAAACATGTCAATTGCTTGTGAAACTTAACTAATCAACATTTGTAACTCTATTGTTTGTGAAACTTAACTACTCAACATGACAACAAATGTAATAGGAAGCGTTTTGTTTTCAACTATTTATTTTGGTCGATTCCTAGATGTTTTCTTATTGTGACCACCTTGTCCACACACAGAACACGAAAATGCCCTCTTAGACTCTTTCTCTGAAGCAGGCTTGAGTCTTTCCTTTCTTGGCCTTCCTGCATTCCTTCTCCCTTTAGGTCGTAGGACCACATCTTCCATCACCTCTGTTGGGATTACCCATAAACTCTCATCTGGCATCGGATTCACTGGAAATTCATAAATGCTAAGGAGTTTATCCTTCTTGTAGTAAAAAGAGCAATACTGGCCAGGTTTCAGCTGCTGGTTCTTCAAAACCGCCCAAGCATGCGGACATGGAAGTTCATCCATTTGAAATTTTCCGCAACTGCATGTTCCCTCTTCAAGGCACAGTATGTTTCTCCTTACCCCTTCAAGCACAGTATATAACTGATCCGTAGCAGGTCTCACCTGCAAAAAAAATTTTTTAAAAAAAAAAAATTAAAGAACATTATACATTATTATACAGAGTTATACATCCTTATACAAGCAGTAAAATGCAAGTCAGAAGTGCCAAGATTGATTATATTTGAATCATTTTACCGTCATTTGCCCGATGCAATCAGATTTTCCCGAAGGAGTTTGTCGTACTTTTCGCCAAGCTCTGTAGATGTCTCCATTGCACTTTTTCTGTTTTTGTTGTTCCACTGTTGTAGCAAATTTGTCATGTACTCTAGCAATCGTATTACTGGTAACTCTCTAGCATCCTTGTTAGCTGCATTAATTGACTCTGCAATATTGGAAGTCATTACCATCGACCTTTTCACCTTGGAATATGCTCTAGACCACCTTTCGTACCCAATTTCAAACAAGTAAGGCTGCACCCTCGGATCAATTTTGCACAACTCTGTCATATGGTACTCAAACTTCTCTATCGTGTAAGCTCTTGCCAAAGCAAAGAAGATATCCTTCAATTGTTTGTGATGTTTCTTGAATGTGCGCTTTACATTCTGCCATAAGTGAAACATGCAAATACAATGTGGTACTTCTGGGTACACAACTTTGTGGCATTGAAGATGCTTTCATTTCTATCTAAAACTATACACATCCCTTCCCTAACTCCAAAAGTACCCTTTATCTGGACAAAGAACCACTCCCAAGATTTGTTATTCTCTGAATCCACAATTGCATACGCAAGTGGAAAGATTTTTCCTGTTTATACAAAAATAGATATTAGGATTTAGACTGCAAAATAGTCTGCAGATACCAACTGCAAATTTTATACAAATCTTATACACAGTTATACACAATTATACAGATTTATACCAACTGCAAATTTTATAAAAACAGCAGCTGTGAAATCCTATACACTTTTATACATGAAACTAAAACACTATACAAACTGCAGAAACAATGTAGATGCAGTCAACTCACCAGCTCCATCTTGTGTGCAAGCAGTCAATATGGTACCCTTATATGCTGCTTTAAGGAAGCTTCCATCAACAACCATTATCGGTCTGCAATGCTCCCAGCCCTTGATAGATGCATATAGCGAAACATATGCATAAAGAAAGCATCCATCTTCTGATTTGTGCAACTTTGTAACCGTTCCTGGATTTGTTTGCTCCAACATATAAAAATACTTCGGCAACTCCTTATATGAATCACTCGGACTCCCTCTTATCATTGCCATTGCTATTTCTTTAGCTCTCCATGCTTTCATGTAGCTCACTTCAATCCCGTGTTGCTTTTGTATGTCCTCTATTATATAATTTGCGGTGTAAACTTTTTTTGGATTAACATACTTGTCCTTGACTATACTAGCAATTATACCCGAAGTAGCTTGACGTTGTGTTAAGTATCTTTCACCATAGCCGCATGTGTGATTATTATTGTAACTTCTCACTTTGAATATGTTTGCCTTGAAAACGGCAGAAGATTTGAAACTCCAAGCACAATTGTCATCCAGACATGTAAGGTGATACCTAGTATTATACATCATTCAACTTCTAAATACACTTGTATACAAACTGCATATATACTAATTTTAATACCTATATACAAATATATACTACTTTATACATATTTATACAACAGAATATACAATTAATGACATACCTTGTTGCACTTGATCTCTTCACCTTGAATTGGAACCTCTCGCGTACAGCCAAGTTCTTCATCACATTCATAAATGTCTCTTTATCCTTATAAACTTGATCCTCCTCAACAAATTCGTTCAACATATTATCTATTATACCCGTGTTTTCACTAAATTTCGTCTTTTCAATCAATTCAATATCAATAATCTCAGTGCTATCAGTTGTTGATACATCTCTAGAATTTGAATTTGTAGCAACCAAACAACTGGAACTTGAAGCAACCACAGAACTTGTAACAACCAAATGATTTTCATAAATCTCTTTCACTGTCACAAACAAGGGATATTCAGTGAAATTCAAGTTTTTCTTCTTTAATTCTATATGCACCTTAACTCCTGTATCGTTGTAAATCATGATCGGTGGCAAACCAACATTTGGGACAAAGTTAATCTCTATTGTGTTTAAATCACTATCGATCCTAATATGTTCCGAAATAGCTGCAACTAAATTGTTGTAGTTGAATGTGGACTCGATTATTACACAATCACTGACGAAATTCACAAACTTGTTTTCTTCCCATTCACCACAGGTAAACAGGAAAAATCTCCATCTAACAAAAAATTGAAATCAAAATTGCAGCAAAAAGGAGAATTGCGCTGCTTCGTAGCAAAAAAAATTGAATAAATTCTAGATGAAGAAGAAATGGTAGGGTTTTCGTACCTGCATTTATCGCAAGATCTCGTTTCTGAAGTATTTGGGGGAAGAAGATTGGAAAGAATCTGAGAAAATCCAGCTGAATGAGAGAAAATCGCGTTTGGTAGTCTCAAAATATCGGAAATAACGCCCCATTTTCAGATATGGGCCTCTAATTTGTGGGCTACTCAATTGTAAAGTTAAATATGAGCTATAAAGTTGAAAAGGAGGCAGCCCACTTGTTTTAATGTGAAATTTTCCCTATATAATTTGGTATAATCTTATCCAATGTTTGATTTATATTTTAAAACGTGTATAACTTATACATGGATAAAGCACAAAAATGAGAAAATTATCCATATTTTCTTCCTAGAAGCCAATGAAGGCCAAGTGTTCAAGGGTATAATTGCAAACTCATTGCTTTTTAGTTTAAAAAATAAATATTATAAAGACGTCTTCTGTATTCATTTGTAGTGTAATGAACCAAACATCCAACGAAAAATAGACTTTGTATTACTAATTCCTACCTCACTAATTCCTGCATTACAACCTATTTATAACTTCTCTTCGTGCAAAACGACCTTAACATCTGGATTTAATTAATAACAGCAATCGTCAGAATTAATTGATTAAATTACTAGTTGTCTTTCCTTAAAATGAGTAAAAAATATTGATAGACCTTTGAGAAAATTGTATGGATCATTAATTAAAGTATAAATATGCAACAACAAAAAAAGTGACGACTTCTTATTATTTTATTTTTTGACGTGGCGCTTATTTTTGATAAAATTTGTCCGGTTAAATCACTATTTAAAAGTGACAGGAGGAGTAGTAACATTTTCATATGGTGCCCGATTTTGCGCAACCGATTGAATTTGTACTCACTTTTTGAAAAAAAGATTAACTGATACCAAATTTTAGTAAATTCAAATACATTTTTCTCTTCTTCTCCACTACTGATTTCTTCTTCTTTGTGTTTGGGGATTCTTCTTCTGTTGGTTGAAAAAATGGGCTTGTTAAATTTGTTATTGTTTTAACAATTTGATGTAAGATTTGTTCTTTATGATATTTGAAAGTTATATTTCAAAATTGAACTCATTTTGAGTAGATTTGGGTGTTAAATCGTGTGTTGGATTGTTGAAATTCGAAGAATAAGTTTATATTTCAGAACTTCAGATTTTGAATTTGATTTTGAATCTGAAGTTGTCTGAAGTTATATTGAAAAATTGAGCTATTTAAGATTTTAGATTTTAAATCTAATTTTGAATCTAAAGTTGTATTCGAAAAAAGATTGAACTGCTTAATATTCGAATTTCTGAAGTTGTAATCGAAAGATAGAAAGACATCAGATTCGAAATATGAAGTTGCTTTGAAGAGCTTGAACTACTTAAGATTTGAATTTCTGAAGTTGCAGTTGAAAGATAGGAGAACTTCGGATTTGATTTCTGAAGTTGCATTGAAGAAATTGAACTACTTCAGATCCAAGCTAGTACACTTAGCAAGTGGCGAAGCCATAATATTCAATAAGGGTGTTCAAATTTTGAGCACCCTTTGCTAGTGGCTATGCAAGGATGTTTAAAGTCTATTTTTAATCAATAAGAAGTAATATTTTATCTTATACGTAGTACAATTTTTCGGCGAAATGTATTCTGTTGACCAGCCTTGGGCCGACATAACTTCGCCCCTGCACTTAGCAGAGTTTTGTGCAATACGTGTAAGTTCAATGGTAGCCCCAAAAGGGGTATATATGCAAATGGCCCGGAGGAGTAAGATATTACTACATGTTAAGTTCTTTCACCCTTTGGGTCCCACCTCGAAGAAGAGGTCATGACATTGTCATTGATTTTAGGATGTCATTGAGGATGATGACCACAGCAAAAAGGATAATGTCGATTGGTCATGAGCATATATACTATTGCAAGGAGCCAGGAGCCAAACAGTTACTAATTGATTTGGTTGGCTCTTGCCTCTTGGGATGTCTGAGCAGAAAATCTCAACAACAATTTCTTGGATGGCACTACTAAGTGTTCCTGTTATCCGGGGTTCTTAAATCGTTGTGTGGGAGAACCGGGGAACCGCTGTCGATGACCGCATCAAAATACAACAATACTGATTGGCTCTTGCCACACTGTTTTTCTATTTTTTATTTTTATTTTTAACTTTAAAGTATAGGGAACGGCATAAATAGAAGCTAGATTCTTTTTTACTGCACCCCTGAACTATATAATTGGATCGATGTTATCTTGTGTATTGGTAAAACATGTGCATAACATGTGGCTAAGACAAGAGCCAACACGTAACAAAGATTTCCTGGTTGTATAGGGTAAAATTGGTTTATATTAAATACTCGTATAATAGAGCGACGTGTGGAATCGGAGACAGACGAAAAGTGAGACAGGTGGAAACCAAGACCAGGAGCAACAGTTTCGGCTGGCACCGGGAAGCCCCCGAAAGGAATATTGCTAATGAAGACAAACGAATGCCTGCCACCCGATAGCATTCAATGAAGAGTATTCTGCAGTATTAAGTACACAGTCCGTTATAGCGAATTTTGGCATTCATAGCCCGCTGTTACACATTCTTTAAAGGCCCTCATAATTGTCATTTATGAGGGGCTTGATCCTAGTACCTTGTTCCCTAGGTTCAACTATAAATAGTTATTTCAACAACCATTATAAGGACATGATTTTTCTGACAAACTTATGCTACCTATTATTAGAAAGCTCAATAACATTTTATTTCTCGTCTATTGATATTCTTATTATTGCCTTCGGAAGCTCTACTCCCGGGACCAACCTATATGCTGTCCTATCTCGATTTCAACGCTAAGTCTTGTATTTTTATTTAATTTAATTATCACTTTGGGATCAAATCAATTCGCTTGTCTATAAATCACGTACAAATCCAACTGTACCGTTTTATGGGTAAATAGTTTGGCACCCACCGTAGGGCTTAGACAGTTGCGTAATTGAGTTGATCCTTTCATCTATTACTAACATGTTTAATTCATTGTTTCTTAGTAAAAAACCGCAAGAAAATGGCAGATAATGACGTCACCATAACACACAATGTTGAGGCACAAGGAAATACGCCTCGACACGAAGATTATATCAGTGATACCCGCAACGAGGAAGACATAGCCACGCCGGTCCATGGCGGGAAATATCCACGACACGTTCCAGAGGCAACTCTTGTTGATGCTAAAGATGAGCACGTTGTGGAAACACTGAGAATCCCAAGGGAGCAACAAAAGGCTATTCTGGGCCATCTCTCGTGGCAAGATCAGGTCATGAAAGAGTTGAAACAAGCGTTGTCGGGTGCTTCCAACAACGCGAATGTAAGAGGTCTAGTTCCTCTCAGTGCTCCTGCAAACCAAACAATACAAAGGGTTGACAACAACACCCAGAGGCGTGAGATGCTCGCGAATACTTTTATAAAGGCCCATGCCAGGGCCAAGAAGGTTCATGCCCGAAAAGCCGGCATATTTAGAATTGCTCAAGGAGAGTTTGAATTGCTGCGAGATTTCTTGACAAGATTCCAAAAGGAAAGGATGTTGCTACCGCTACGCCGATAAATGGGCATCTGAAGCATTTATGAAAAGGCTAAATTCGAGGAGTTCTAATGCTGCCCGAAAATTGAAAGAAAGTCTGCTCAAGTTCCAGGTGACAACATGGGCAGATGTCCACAACCTCTATGAATTGAAAACAAGAATGGAGGATGACCAACTCGGTTTCCCGGCATCAACCAATGGTCGGAATTGGGAGAAGAATAAGGAAAAGTTGAAGGAAGATTTCGACGCAGATCGATGGTCTTCTAGAGCTTAGTTTTTGCCATACGAAAGAGTCGAAGGAGGCGGCAAAGGTTTTCGATCGGCGGATAGGTTCGCTACCGATAGGAGAGCTGATCCTAGCTGGAATAACAGACGTTGTATGACAAAGAGGTATCGGGCTCTCGAGATTTCACCTACCCATATTGTCTGAGTATAACTTCAATGTTAGCATAGTGGAACTGGTATCCGTGATGAGGAACATTAAGGAAGTACGGTCCCCGAGGCCGATGAGATCCGACCCCATTCAGAGGTATCCTAATCTATGGTGTGAGTATCATGGGACTAACGGCCAACGGACTGGAGAATGCCATTATCTGCGCGAGGTGGTGGCGAAATTGTTCAAAAATGGCTATCTCAGGGAGTTCTTAAGCGACCGGGCTAAGAATGACTACAGTCGTAACCGGGATAACGCGGAACTGTCGAAAGCCAGAAAAGATACTCCTCGTTTAACGAACAACATGATTTTCGGGGGTAACGAGATTAATGGTGTAACCTTTTCGGCAGCGAAAAAGATAAAGGTATCAGTGACCCATAGCAAGAGACTCTGGGTAGTCGCCGAGGATGATATCACCTTCACGGAGGAGGACGCAGAGGAACTCTTACTACCATACAACGATGCCCTGGTAATTTCTCTTAATGTTTTAGATTTTAAAATTAAATGTGTTTTGGTGGACCCAGTAAGTTTAGCCAATAGTATTTAATGGAGAGTGCTAGAATAAGCCAAGCTAACAGGAAGCATCGTTATGGCCACAAAACTCCTAGCCGGGTTCATCTTAGCAAGCGTGACAACCTGAGGGGAGATCCTCCTACCCACGAATGCTGAAGGGGTAATGAAGATTACCCTATTTGAAGTAGTAGACGGATATATGGGCTATAACATTATTCTTGGAAGGCCATGGCTACACGAGATGAAGACTGTGCCATTAACATACCATAAACTTCTGAAATTCCTAACCCTAGAGGGGATTAAACAAATAAGAGGGGATCAACCGGCGGCAAGGGAGATGAATGCAATCTCGGTTTCTAATAGTAAAGGGAAGGAACATAGAGCATAGAAATTACAGGATCCGCGCCTGCTCTCGAGCCCAAAAAAGTCAAAAAGGGGGAGGAGTCGCCGGAATCCTATCAGGTACCAAGATATTTCTAGGTACCAGAAGAAACGGATGCGACCAAATCCATAACAGAAGAGCCCGAACAAGTTGCATTGTTCGAAATATTCTTGGAAAGGAAGTTCCACTTGGGGACAAGATTAAAACCCAAGCTCAGGTCAGGATTTATAGAATTTCTTAAATTTAATATTGACTATTTTGCATGGTCGCATGCGGATATGACAGGTATTCTGCCAGAGGTGGCCATGCACAAGTTAAGCCTGGATCCTAACATCCCTCTGGTAAGGTAGAAGAAACGCCCTATTTTCGAGGTCCGAAATAGGTTTCTCAAAGAAGAGGTAACTCGATTGCTTGATATCGGTTCAATTTGGAAGGTAAAGTATCCCGTCTGGTTAGCTAACGTAGTAATAGATCCGGAAAAGAACAATAAATTTCGCATGTGCGTAGGTTATAAGGATCTGAATAAGGCGTGCCCGAAAGACTGATTCCCATTGCCAAACATTGATCAAAAGATTGATGCGACAGCCGGGCATGAGTTGATGAGTTTTCTCAATTCCTATTTCGGGTACAACCAAATCAAAATGAACACGGAGGATCAAAAAAAGACTTTGTTCATAACGAATTTTGGCACATATTGCTATAATGTGATGCCTTTCGGGCTTAAGAATGCCGAAGCCACTTATCAGAGGCTTGTGAACAAAATGTTTGAAAAACAAATAAGGAAAACAATGGAAGTTTACATAGATGATATGTTGGTTAAGTCTTTGAACACAGGTGATCATCTTAAACACCTCCAATAAACCTTCGACATCCTAAGGAAGCACAACATGAAGCTTAACCTCGAAAAATATGTATTTGGAGTCAACCCCGTAAGTTCTTGCGGTTCTTGATATCACAAAGGGGGATCGAAGTCAATCCCGATAAAATTAAAGACATCGAGGACATTCCCGATCAGCTATCAAATGTGAAAGAGGCTTAGAGGTTAATAGGAAGACTGTCCGCTTTAAGCAGGTTCATTTCCCGGTCTTCAAAAAAATGTCATCACTTTTTGTCACTTCTAAAAAAGAAGAAAACCTTCAAATGGACTCCGAAATACCAGCAGGCTTTGAAATATTTGAAAAGGTATTTATCGAGCCCTCCGTTACTATCAAAATCGGAGGAAAGCGAACAGTTGCTGATTTACTTAGCAGTCTCGGAGGTAGCGACAAGTACCATTTTAGTTCGTGAAGACAAAGGTACGCAATCTCCTATCTATTATGTTAGTAAAATTTGAACAGGAGCGAAAACTCGCTACCCACACCTCAGAAAAATTGGCCTTAGCTCTTGTAACCGCCGCTCGAAAGCTTAGACCTTATTTTCAATGCCACCCGATAGCCGTGGTGACAACCTTTCCCCTGCAGAATATCCTTTACGAACCTGAACTTTCAGGTCAACTAGCCAAATGGGCAGTCGAAATGAGTGAATTTTACATAAAGTATAAACCCAGGACTGCAATCAAGTCACAAGTTTTGCACTTGTGACTTTATCGATCCAATAGGACGTAATTGCCACAACACCCTAGTATACTTCAATCTTGGAATGTGATGATGTACTTCGTCATGCAAGTCAAGCTATTTAGTAGTCACACTTGAGAATCCAATCCTTCTAACCTTAAGCAACATTGTATAGCATTGGATACCTAGAAGATCATCCTATTTATAGACACTGTCTTCCTATGCATACAAGAATTTCTTCACTTCCATAACTTCCAAACTATCAGGGATGGAATAGCATGAGACACTGTCTTCAAACATGTATTCACTGAGTAATTCCACCATTCCTTTATCACTTGAACAATTTGCTTGCCTTCTATATCAATCCCGGCAAGTGCACATAAATATTTCCATAAGAACATAGCAACTAGGATATCTCATAAACACATGAGATATTGTTTCTTCCATAGGATTTATACAACACCAAACACCTAACCCCTTCTTCTTAATGATTCGTCTAGTGGTATTTTAGCTTTTCATAACCTCCACATAAAGATTGAAATCTTGAAAAGCTGGCTCTTCACCCAAGTAAATTTATAAATGTTGTTCCCCTGACTTCTCGTCCTAATATATGCCAAGACGAGTTGACTAAGAATTGGCCCTCCCTCTCCAGCATCGATCAGGGTCTATCCATCCTTTCTTGATTTTGAGGAAGTTGAATACACTCTAAAATTTGTTCATCTAATTCCTTAGGTAGTATATCCCTCAGAAGTTTCTCATTAAAAACTCCATCTTCTATAACATCACTCACATAAATAATTGATTCATCATACCATGGTCAGGTCATGTAGCATGGTAGAGTGACCCAAAACCTGTCCAATTGTCAAATCAGAACAATGAATAAGCCTTTTTTACTTGCCATCCTATTTGATGTTCAACCAAGTCTCTCATTTCAAGCATCTTTCTCAACACATGTGAATCATATCTTTGTAGTAGTATAGAACAACAATAACAACGACCACCTAGTATAATCCCACAAGTGGGGTCAGGGGAAGGTAGGATGTACGTAGCCTTACCCCTACCCTAGAAAGGCAGAAAGACTGTTTCCGATAGACCCTCGGCTAAAGAAGGTGAAAGAAGCCCTGATAGCAAGTAATAGCAAGACAAATAATTAGAAACTAAATTGAAGATAGCAACAGAGAATATGAAAGAGGTACCAATAACAAATAATAGCAAGACAATATATTTAGAAAACTAAATCCAAGGCAGAAAACGAGAATATGAATGAAGTACTGCTAGCAAACTACGAGATTACCGATGGCAAGTAATAACGGAACAAGATATGCGAATATAGAAAACTAAGGAAAAAAGGGTACCGTACTAGCACTAATACTATCGAACTAGAGAAGACAAAAGGAAACGCACGACTACCTACTAACCTTCTACCCTAATCTTCAGCCTCCACACCCTTCTATCAAGGGTCATGTCCTCGATTAGCTCAAGTTGCGCCATGTCTCGGCCGATCACCTCTCCCCAAGACTTCTTTGGCCTACCTCTACCCCTCCTCTCACCTCCCAAGGCCAACCTCTCACGTCTCCTGACTGGGGCATCTGTGCTTCTCTTCTTAACATGCCCGAACCATCTCAACCTTTCCTCACGCATTTTTGCCTCCATAGGGGTCACTCCCACCTTGTCCAGAATAACTTCGTTCCAAATTCTATCCAACCTAGTATGGCCACACATCCATCTCAACATCCTCAGTTTTGCTACTTTTATCTGCTGGACATTGGAGTTTTTGACTGGCCAACACTCTGCCCCATACAATATAGTCGGTCTAAACACTACCTTGTAGAACTTACCCTTAAGTCTCAATGGCACATGCTTATCATACAAGACACCGAAAGCGAGCATCCACTTTATCCACCCTTTTCCGATACGATGTGTTACATCCTTATCTATCTCCCCATCCTTCTGAATTTTAGATCCCAGATACTTGAAACTCTCTCTCCTAGGAATGACTTGAGTATCGAGCCTCATATCCCCGTCCGCCTCATGGGTAACACCGCTGAACTTGCACTCCAAGTATTCTGTCTTGGTCCTACTCAACTTGAAACCCTTAGACACTAGAGTGTGTCTCCAAACCTCCAACCTCTCGTTAACGCCGCCTCGCGTCTCACCGATTAGGATTATGTCATCCACAAATAACAAGCACCAAGGCACCTCCCCTTGAATGTGTCGCGTCAATGAATCCATCTCCATAGAAAACAAAAACGGGCTAAGTGTTTATCCCTGATGCAACCCCATCTCAACCGGAAAGTAGTCAGAGTCTCCTTCTACAGTAGTATAACCTCATTTATTTTCTTGCACTATTTTTTTCTCATAAATGTAGTCCAAAGTGTGTCATTTGTTCTATAGTTCCACCAAAGTTTGGAAAATAAAGCCTCTGAGATATCATGAAAAGATCTAAACCCAGACCACCTTAATACTTTGGCAAGCAAGGTGTATCCAGTGAAGCCCAATGCCTTGTCTTCCCATTTCCCGAATTACTCCAACAAAATATAGCAAACATATGGTGAAATTGAACAACCACTTCTGGATTTGGTTTAACGGCTAACAAGCGATGGCTTGGCATACTTTCAAGTACTTGTGCAATCAAGACTTCCCTTTCCCCCAATAGACAAAAGCTTGAAGCCTTTGTTGCACATGAAGATAAAACCCTTGTAAAATATGTTCTGCCTTCTACTGTAGAAAATAGGGCATCCAAGGTAAGTGAAAGGGAAAGCCTATCTCTGAAAAGCGGTGATAAGATGCACTGTATTGGACTCATCTGCAGGTGCATTCTAGTGCATATAAAAAACGGACTTCTCATTGATCACCTTCTGGCCAAAAGTAGCTTCATAGTCTTCCAATACATTCATGATAAATTTTATATCCCAATGTGAGGAGCTAAAGATAATAGTATCATTAGCATAAGAAAGGTGATTAACATTGTGACTTTACTTTGGCCTTCCAAGCCCAATAAAGTCTAGATTATCATACAATTCATCGAAAGCTCACCCATCAACTCAACAGCTATAATAAATAAAGTGGGAGATACAAGACCAATCAGGGTAGCAAGAAGGCCCGAAAATTGAAGAATAGGATGGAGCGAGAGGGTAGCAAGAAGGCACGATCGGTGGGAAACTTTGGTGGCTTTTCTAGTGGTGGTAGTGGCGGATGGTTAGAATTCACGGGAGGGTCATCAGGTCCATCGCAGTCCTTTGCTTAGTCGTCGGTCAGTGCACTACAATCAAAGCCCGGTCAGTAGCAGTGAAGTCGTTTCAAGCCCAGTCAGGGAAACAAGGAATCCTACCATTAGGGTTAGCCTGACGGTATATTCCAACAGCAGCGGGGCCCCCCCTAGGTGTGGGAAGATCCATTCAGGGGTCTAGTACATGGACCTACCCATATGCTACGGGTGCGGTATTAGAGGTCACATTCAGAGGGATTCTTTTTCATCCTACCAGAATGTTTGTAGGGGTATGGCACAGCCAGCCAGTTCTGTAGCTACTACATCCGCAACACCTCCTCCAGCTTGAGGTACTCCAGCACCCCCAGGGCGTGGTGCAGCTAGGAGTGGTGCATAGGGTTTGGTACGATCTAGCAGTATCTATGCTATCAGGGGCCGCCGGAGTTCAGGGACTTCTCCAGAGGTTGTCACAGATACACTGACTGTCCAATCTCTTGATGAGTATACTCTTATATATCCTGATTCCACCTTGTCATATATCACTCCTTATGTTGCTATGGAATTCGGGATAGAACCAAAATAGGTCATGAGTCGTTTCTCAGTATATGCTCGAGTTAGTGAGTCTATTATGGCTATGCGGGTTTATAGGGATTGTATTGTCGCAATTCATATTTGATACACTACGACCGATCTCATAAAATTGGTGATGGTAGATTTTGACATTATAATAGGGATGGACTTGCTTCACTTATGTTATTCAAGCTTGATTGCCGAACCAGAACCGTTAGGTTTGAATTTCCAAATGAGTAAGTAATTGAGTGGAAGGGGGGTGATGCCATGCCAAAGGATAGGTTTATTTCTTACCTTAAGGCCGTGAAGATGATCAACAAGGGGTGTATTTACCATTTGGTCCGGGTCACGGACACCGATGTTAAGGCCCCTACTTTTGAGTCTGTGCCTGTTAGGAAAAAATTTCCAGGGGTCTTTCCTGATAAGCTCCCTGGGATCCCATCAGACAGGAAAATTGATTTTGGGATCGATTTGATGCCATGCTCGCAACCTATATCTATTCCACCCTACAGAATGGCGCCAATAGAATTAAAGGAACTAAAGGAGCAGTTGAAGGATTTTCTAGATAAGGGTTTCATCCGGCTGAGTGTGTCACCATGGGGCGCACCGGTTCTCTTTATAAGGAAGAAAGATGGGTCATTTAGGATGTGTATTGACTATCGGCAGCTCAACAAGGTGACAATCAAGAATAAGTACACACTGACAAGGATGAATGCCTTGTTCGATCAATTTCAAGGTGCTAAGTACTTCTCCAAGATTGAACTAAGATGGGGGTATCACCAATTGAAGATTAGGGAGCATGATATTCTGAAAACAGCTTTCAAGACCCGGTATGGGCACTTTAAATTTTTAGTGATGTCTTTCGGGTTAACGAATGCCCCGGCAACTTTCATGGATCTTATGGACCAAGTCATCAAGCCTTTCCGCAACTCTTTTGTGATAGTGTTCACTGACGATATCCCTGTATTTTCACGAAGCCGAGAGGACCACGCCGATCATCTCAGGGCAGTCCTGCAGACTCTATATCAGCAGAAATTGTATGCAAAATTGTCGAAGTGTGAATTTTGGCTTGAATCTATCACATTCTTGGGTCGCATTTTCTGTAGTGAAGGGATCAAGGTTGATCCTCAGAAGATCGCAGCTATGAAGAATTGGCCTAGACCTACAACTCCAACAGAGATTCGCAGTTTCTTGGGCTTAGCTGGGTATTACAGAAGGTTTGTGGAAGGGTTCATTACTCTTGCCTCTCCATTGACTAAATTGACACAGAAGGCAATTAAGTTCCAATGGTCAGATGCTTGCGAAAAGAGATTCCAAGAGTTGAAGTCAAGATTGACTACGACACCGGTATTCTATATCATCTAGGGAAGGCTAATGTTGTGGCGGATGCTCTTAGCTGGAGATCTATGGGAAGTTTGGCTCACTTGGAGGCCACCATAGGCCGCTAGCCAAGGAGGTCATCGGTTGGCCAGGTTGGTAGTTCGGCTTGCGGACTCTAGCGAAGGTGGGGTGACTGTGCAAGATAGGGCTCAATCATCCCTTGTAGTTGAAGTCAATAAGAAACAATATGACGATCCGTTGTTGGTGCAATTGAAGAAGGGGATACACAAACAAAAACAATGGCTTTTTCTCTTCGCATGAATGATGGTACGCTAAGGTACCAAGGGCGATTATCTGTTCCAAGTGTACACAATCTCCGGGAAAGAATCATGGCTGAGGCTCACAGTTCCAAATATTCCGTGCACCCAGGCTCTAAGAAAATGTTACCATGATCTCAAGGAAGTCTATTGGTGGAAGGCATGAAGGGGGACGTAGTAGATTTTGTGGCTAGATGTCCAAACTGTCAACAAGGGAAGTCCGAGCAGTAGAGGCCTGGGGGTTAGGCACAATATATAGAAATCCCAATGTTGAAATGGGAGATGATTAATATGGACTTTGTAGTAGGTCTACCTTGCACGCCTTGTAAGTTTGATTTGGCTTGGGTGATTGTGGACTGACTCACAAAATCAGCACACTTCTTGCATGTTAAAGCTAGTGACATAGCATAACAATATGCTTAGTTGTATATCAAGGAAATAGTCAGGTTGCATAGCACTCTAGTTTCTATTATCTCATATCGAGGAGCACAGTTCACCGCTAACTTTTGGTGGAAATTCCAGGAAGGTTTGGGTACGCAGGTAAATCTTAGTACAACTTTTCATCCACAGACCGACGGGCAAGCAAAGTGGACTATTCAGACACTTGAGGATATGTTGCACGCTTGTGTTCTTGACTTCAATGGCAACTGGGATTACCATTTTCCATTGATAAAATTTGCTTATAATAACAGCTGTGATGCCATAACAGCTGTGATGCCAGTATCCAAATGGCGTCCTTCGAAGCTTTATATGGCAAGAGATGTAGATCTCCCATTGGGTCTTCGAAGTTGGGGAAGAAGAGTTGATAGGGCCAAACCTCGTGCATCAAGCTATGGAGAAGGTTAAGATCATTAAGGAACAGTTGAAAACTACTAAAAGTCACCAGAAGAGGATGATTGGGTATTCTTGAAGGTTTCCCCCACGAAAGGTATAATGCGATTTGGGAAGAAAGAGAAATTGAGTTTGAGGTATATCGGACCGTACATAATCATTTGGAGGATTGGTCAAGTGGCGTACAGGCTCGAGCTACCTCCAGAGATATCCTTAGTGCATCCGGTGTTTCATGTGTCTATGTTGAAGAAGGTGGTTGGAGACCCGTCACTCATTGTTCCAGTAGTGGCTATTGAGGTTAATGAAGAATTGGCTTATCAGGAGATTCCGCTTTCCATTCTTGATAGGCGGGTCCAAAAGTTGGGTGCAATAAAGAGATTGCCTCAGTGAAACTGCTATGGTGAAACCAACAAGTTGAAGAGGCCACCTGGGAGGCCGAAGAAGAGATGGGGAAGAAATACACTCATTTGTTTGAATAACTAAGTAGTTGTGTTTTAAAAGAATGTAAGGAGCTTACTTTCTATAAATAAAAGTTCAACTTGTACATTTCATGTTAAAGATGCTCCTTTTTGGTAATATAATGCTTACAAGGTTATGATTCGTTTTATTTTCCTGTTATGTTATATCTAGCATGGTGTAGTGTAGGCATGTGCAATGTGTACTATCATAGCTAAAGTAGATAATTTCATCATGGAATAGCAGTTTTATCAGTTCCAACAGGAAAAATAACTTCAATGTGGTACATGTAGCTCACAGAGGTACACATAGGA